TATTTTCTATTAAATGTGAGAAATTTAAATTGGTAAAACAAGATTCACCTTATTTTCGTTAGAACTTATAGGATACTGTTTAAGCATATTTAGTTGTTTAATAAGATTTTATTCAATATAACTATATATATAAGATTATATTATTAAAGTTAATGAAAAGAAATTTTACGTATTACAATTTTTGCTAGAATTATTTTTAGGAAATAAATAGGTTTTGCATGCAATAATGTTAAAAAAGAAATATCTCTTATGATTCATATATTACATAAAAATATGCAGAGAAAACGTAATAGGCTAATTTATACGATTGAAGATAATTTACAGAGGAGATAAGATTTACTCACACAGATGAAGAAGTTTGTCATGGGTCACAGAGATAGGGACAGTAAGGGTCATCTCTTGACTCCTATGAACTCAGTTTACTTTTGTTGAGCTACTACTGCACACCATGAGGATTACAGGTACAGACAAAACATTTTTATTCATAATTAGGAAGAAATATTTAATTACTCTTTATTATTAATTAATATATCTTACTACCAGATCACTGATATGATACACTAAACACGAATTTATATTTATTTTAATATATTTATTATAACAATAAATAAATATTTACAGTTCATAAAAATAACTAAAAAATTTTATCGTAATTTTTATAATTATATTACATATATTTTACAGAAATATCTTATTTCTGTTGTAGAAATATATATTTATATAATTATTCTGCTGTGAATAATAATTTTTATGAATAATCATAATGAGATAATAAATTTAATCTGGACAATTAAGGAATATACTATCAAAATATTAATTAAGAAAAATTCTCTTACAGATGTTAATGATATGCTACAAGTGCTAATACATAAATTAAGAGGAGCTATATTCGTTCTACTTGTATTGTGCAATAACAATGTTGTATACATGTTGTTTCAAACAGGAAAAGAGTATACTTATTCTTATACAGCACTTTCAAGTTCCGGTGTTTTACTACCAAATCTTGCATCATCTTTGTGGGGATTTCACGGAAAACTTTTAATTCAATCAGAGCAAAATATAACTACTATGCAGGTATAGTTTATTTAAAGCTATTATTTAAATACATAACATGTGGAAATATTTTTATTACTTGCAAATTGTTGTTTCAAATAATGCAGTTACAATGTATTACTTTTTTTAATTAGTTGGAATCGTTGAAAATGACTGTATGGAATGGTAATACGCAAGAAAAAGGCAATGATCAAGATATTACTGATGATGTAGCAGAACTTCTGGAACCATTTCAAATTACATATGGGAATGGTCTTATCAAAAATTTTAGCACAGTAGCTACCTCCCCTTGGTCCATAAATATAAAACGAAGTATAGCTGGTATTTTTCAATTAGATCTCCTTAATTTGGAGAAGAATATAGCTTTTCGTTCTACTGAGGTAAGTGCTGTATATACTCCTGATAGAAAATTCTCAACTATATAGAAGTATTTACTAATTTGAAGATTAGCTTGATGATTTGTTAAAATTATATAAATCTATAAGAAAGTAGTCTTTATTACGTTTTGGCAAAACTTTTTAGACTTTACTTTTAAACTTTGATCAGTATTATTTAATTTTTTTGTTCGAAAGAACTTAAAATAATTGAGTAATTAGATAATCCGAATACACTGTGAAAAAAGAAGAAAGTAGTATAAAAAGATAACAATCAAAGTTCTGCTATTTGTAATACTAAAAAAGGAAAAAGTGGACTCAACTTTTCCATGGGAAAAATATACTTATTTATAAAGCTATGCCTAGTCTCGTGAGGCAACCTCAACTGACATTTGTCTTAATTATACTGCTTCAAGTACTTCTTTAGTATTTGTGTTACAAGCACGTAAAACTGCATGAATACTATTGTCTCTATACTGTGAGACAAAAAATCGACAGTCTCGTGAAGTTCCTTTGCAATATCTAGACATAGCAAAGTCATTATAACAGTCTATATTTTAGAAAAATCATTATGGACAATGTGATATTGAATATATTACTAATTCTCAAGAAGGCAATGAATTGGTGATAAGAAAATTTGTAGACCCTCGAACATGTATTGGTCATCCTCATCGCACATGGTCTAATGTCCCAAAAATGTTGTGTCCTAATGGTGACCAAGTATGTACATACATTAACATACAAAAAGTAACCATTGTTTTATAAAATATAATTTAATTAAATAAACTTGATGTTATTTTAGAATCCAATATTAAAATCCAGTGAAAGGATGTACAAAATTCAGGCAAATGGAACCTTAAACGAAATTTTATTTATTAATGCTACTGGAGGCATATATGTTCAACCTTTTCAAAGTTTTGGAGAAGCTCAGTTTCATTTTACAAGGTCATTCCGTGGTCTTTTATTTTTCTAATTACTAAATCCGAACACCTAAACCTATATTTTAACGTTCATGTTCTGTTACATAGACAAATTTTCAAGTTAATTTCAGTAGAAGATACAGCAAATAAAATACCTACTCAAAACTTACATTCTATGACTCTTCAACATGAACTTCCAGAACTTGATCTTACTCAAGGTAGAGGTACTCCTGACAAAAATACTATTTTCAAATCTGTAAGTTCTTCTTAGTATAATAATAAAAATAATTAATATAAAATAATATATAACATTATATAATTATATAACATTGTTATACATCGTAGATAGGAACTTTATTAGATAGATTAAGTCAAAGACTCGAAAATCCAGGTTTGGATACAGAAACTGATAATTTACACAATAGTACAATCTCTATCTTACTTTATTATCTTGGGATGTTGGATGTTGTCGATTTACGCATAGCCTACACTAAAATCTCAGGGACAAGTTACAAAGAAGAAACTATCCGGTATTTATTCATATTATTTTTGTATTTTTAACATTTCATGCTTGATACATTGTTTCGTTCAATTGTATTGTTATAGAAATATGTTTCTTGAAACTCTTCCACAAGTTGGAACAAAAGATGCTGCACTGTTTATAATGGAAGTAATCCAAGATACAAAAGTATCAGACATGTCTGCAATTCAACTTCTTACTCAATTACCATTTCATATTCGAAAACCTGATGTTCAATTATTACGAAATCTTCAAGCACTTCTAAATTTGCCAGAAAAAATTTCTGCTGAAGTTCAAAATACTGCAATTCTCGCATATGGAACGTTGATCTATAAAACATGTTTATTATATTGTCCGTATGAAATTTTAGATGACTATGTGCGCCTTTATTTGGATAAATTTACAGGTATAAAATTGGTAATACATACATAATTCGTTTACTTTTCTACTATCGAATAAATAATTCATAGAGACACTGGAATACGAGAAGAAAATGATTTGGTTGGAAGGATTAGCTAATATACAATTAGGAAGAGTAGTTGAATTTTTAAAACCTATTGCTAGTGGTAATAATGCAGAATCACGACATTTTCGAGTTCTTGCTGCTTGGGCGTCTCTTCCAACAGCTCCATTAAGACCTGATGTTGTAAGTATTTTCTTTAAATTTATCATATAACTAATTATTAAAAGTTCCAATTCTTAATTTACAGATTTATCAAGTTTATTGGCCAATTTTAATCAATAGAACTGAACATTTAGAAATGAGAGTAGCTGCATTAACGTTGTTAATTGTTTCAAGTCCTACATCAAGCAGATTGATATCGTTGTACTGGTATATGCAAACAGAACCCAATCAACATCTGTACAATTATTTTTATACTACTTTAAAATCCATGGAACGAACAACGTATCCTTGTTATGTTCACATGTACGTAGATGCACCATTTGTGAAATTTGTAGATATATATCGAATAGTTCTTTCATGATAATAATTACAGAGGAGTTATAGCTGCGCAATTTACAAGAGTACTTCGTCGATTACCAACAAATCAGTATTCAATTACCGGTAATTATTTATTTGATTATCAAGATATGTACAGAAAATTTGGAACAATGATAAGTGGTATTGTTGTTGCTAATCCTTTGACCAACATACCTGAAGTATTATACGTAACCCTCAACACTTATGGAAGTGCAATTAATATGAATCATTTATCTGTAAGTTATAATTCTTCAAGTTTACTATGCTCGTACAAGTGTGCAGTTTCATCTGTTGATTTTTTTTTAAATATGCATATATAGTTATATATAAAAGGTGAAGGTCTTCTACAATCATTATCGACATATTTTGATGGTCCATCACAAGTGAAAGATATATTAAAACAGTTCAAAATAAATCAAAAGGACAGTGGTCCTGTACATTTAGAAGTAATTGCTCGTGTTCAAGAGAAAACGGTTTTATGCCTTCACTTAAATGAAACAAATATTATATCAGGATTTAAGTGTAAGTTTATAGACATTTTCTGTTAAAAAATAACATATTACTTTTACATTTTTGTTTATACATTATACTTTTAGATTTATCATCTTTACCTAGCAAAGTGTATCACATATATCAAAATGTTGAATTTCATATTAACCAGCAACGTATTAACGTACCAGTAACAATAGAATCAGTACAAGTTACAGATTTAGGAGCGAATGCTAGACTTGCAGTGACAACTACATCACTGTTTTCTATGAGGGGAAACTTTACACATGTCCCAAGCGGTCGTAATAACCATGTTATTCTACGGTGAGTAATATATAAAATATACAGTTCGTCTGGTTTGTATACACGCAATTATTTCCCTAATTATTAAGCATGTGAAGAAATGTTCCAGACAAATCTTTTATGATATAAAAGGAGATACATCATGATGTTTAATTTTTCAATGATATTGAAAAATCTGAAGATCATAATTCAATTTCGATATAGATATATATTTTTTTTACGACATATTCGTATAAATGACATCGAACGTATTTGAAAACATTGCTTAACATTAAATTATTCACCTTTAAATTTTGCCTAATGGCATTATTTCATTAGTGATAATGGTTAAGAATAACATGAAATTCTAAGAAAAACATGACAAAAATAACCGTTTTTGATGGGAGTAAAGAACACATAAACACAAAATCGATTCTTTTCAAAGCTAATACAACGTCCGACCTTACAAATACTTCGTGGTATAAATATATCGAATAATGTTAATGTTGACGTCATGTCAAATTTAAAACTTAATACCTTAATAATGGCTTATGCAAAATAAAAGCATAAGTAATGTTTTGAAATTGGTTCGATGTAAACTATAAGAATATGTAATAAACAATATAAACTTCCATTTAAAAATTTGACTATGACCTTCATAGGATTATTCATTATTGATATCATACAACATTGTCTAAAACAATTCTTTGTATTTAATAGTTGGAAAAATAATTACGTGTATACATTTAAACTGGACACACTACATATTTTTTAATTGTTTTTCATACATTTTATTTTATTAATTTGTTTTTTTCAGTACATCCATTCATAGATCAGAAACAATTGAAAATTATAATCCTTTAATTGATGTATGGCATGGTGCTGAAAGAGCTCATTCTATTCATGCATATGTACCAGTTAATATTACACTTGGTTTCGAAGATCGTCCTTTTATTTCATATAATACTCCTGGAGGTACTAATTGTATAAATTTGATTATATATTGTAGAATAAGATTTCTAATATTCTGTAGAAAAAGCATAATTTTCTTCTTTAATCACTACCTTAGAACATCTTAAAATGGGTCTCACAGTTCATGTTAGGACAGCTACCAATATAAGAGGAAAGAATGTTAAAGCAAAGTTGCTTAAAATTTGTCCTAATTGCAGCCTATTATATATAGTTAAAAAAACACCAATGTATAAACCAGAAGTAAGTATATTATTATTTTTTTGTCAATAATTTACAGGGCTGGACACATTACTTTCTTTTTTTAGGAAGTACCATTGTTTCAAATTGATTTAGCAGAATTAGGAAGCCAAGTATGTGTAAAATTATTTGACTGTGAAACTTCAATATCATCAGAAAAATTAATTCGTGACGTATTCTTTTCACATCAAGCTAATTGTCCGTATGTAAAATTTAATTCATTCCATTATTACAATATTTGTGTCATATATATTATTAATTATATGTTAATTTTTAATTATTTTAGTATTTGGCCATTTCTGCAGTTTGCTTTAACAGCACTTCATTTCCTAGATTACTATACATATGTTCCACCAAAAGGTAGTTGTGGTTTAGCAGCTTATATTAGTACAATTGATTCACAGCGAACTCAAGTTAGTATATGTATTAATATTGATATATTTAAAATATCTAAGTTATACATTTCATATCGTGCATTTTTTTATAAGGTGAGATTTGAATATATCAAAGGCCCAAACCATCATATGCTATCCTTAACACGTCGGAGCCTTGAATCGTCACAAGTTCTTCAACAATGGAATGTAGCTGCTCTTTATGAAATTACAAATTGGGTTTCTGATGTAATGAAAATTAAAGCAACTAAAATTGTACCAGGGCAGAAAGTTTTCAAGGTAAATTGTGTAAAGTACAAATAAGAAAGTTATCTAAGCTATCACATGTTTTGTGCATTAGTTTTGTTTAGAGACAGAAAAAGAAATACCTTGGGATTGGAACTTCATTAATATTGAACCAAGTGAACCTGCTAAAATAGTATTAAATGCAGCATGGGGATTTGCTGATACAGCAAAAGGTAAATGCACTGGATCTTCAGTAACACTGAATTTACTTGGTGAAGTCAGTAAGGATCAATTACAAGAAGCTCAAGAATCAAAGTGGCCATATAAAGAATGTCGTGAACAGTCTAAGGGAAAACAATTTACACCATTTTCTGATGTATGTTATGAAGCTTCAAGAGAATTATCCACTTTGCGGAAATATCAAGTTATTGCACAACATGAAAATGTAAGTTAACGAATTATTAATTCGAAGAATATATAATAAAAATTATGTAATTACAATTAGATGCCAGAAAATTTGATGAAACTAGCTTGGAGATTTCGTGCATTTTTTGATTTAATTGGGGGAAACAGTAGTTCAAATTCTATGTCCAAAGAGTTTAAAGTTACTGCAAAATTTCCAAAGAACTCGGAAATTGGTGAATTATCACTGAACGATGATAAAGTACTTATCGAATATAACTATTATTTTATTGATACTTTCTTAACAAGAACTAGAATCCACAAATACACAGACTGGTCATTTATGAAAGCATTTTTTGGTAAGTCAATATTAATTTCTTCAGTTAAAACTTTCACGAACAAGATAATAGATAAATATTTGTACCTGCAGAATTGATTCTATTTTATTACAGTACATTACCTGACTTAATCACTTCCAAATTTAGGCACATGTATTATAACACCAGAAACTATAAGATCAATTCACAACGTGAATTATTCATTTCAAAACAAACATGAAGTTTTATTACTTGGTCAGTGTTATGATGAAAATCCAAAATATGCAATAACATCGCGCAATGATTTATATGGTGTTAGTATCAATATCTATGATGAATTAGATACTGTACGAATTATACCTAATGAAATTGGTGGAACTCTATACAATAACACAATATATATTCCACTGCCGCAAAGCTATATGTTCCATGCCCTGGGTTCCAAAAAGTAAGGAATAATTAATATTTTCACAACATTAAATAACTGATTTTATGGCAGTTAATGTTATTCTCTTAG